GCGCTACCACTTGAGCCACATCCCCAGCCCCATGAGTATCTTTTAATTGGATTAACAACAATAACCCAATCTCTGATACACATATGGGTAGGTGTTTCAGCATTGGTAGTGAGCAGTGCCTTCCAACTGAAAATAACTAATGGTGATTTTCAGGGAAGCTTGAACAGACAAGGATAGTAGAAAAATCTACCCTGTCCATACAGTGAAGGGTCAGAGAACAATATCTTGGATGAACTGGAAACTCAGTTCATTCATCTATCCAAACACTCCCCGTYGTTCATGCCAKGAAGATGAGATTAATGGTGCTCCTTTCCCTTTTCTTCTCATTGTGGGGAAGACTAGGAGGGGTGCATTGCAAGTGACTGGAAGGTGCACCTTTCCTCTTTGATTTTTTAGCATCATGCAAAGGAAGAGAGGTTCCTAAATGCTGGATATGGAGTTCCTGAAATGCTGTCTTGTGTAGCATATGGTTTTCTTGCTTGGAAATAGTATTTTAAAAAAAACCTGGTGACTGTAGTGAGGGCCCTCAAGAAAAGTCAAGAATGAGACCTGAAAAAAATGATATAATATTAGGTAAAAAACACATCTGGAYATGAAGCTGTATTGCGAAGCATTCTGCCAATTTTCCAGTTCTAGACTTCCTTATCTATTGAGATTTGTAAGAAAAACATGTAACTACTGCTCTAACTTGTCAGGGTTACTGAGATGTTACAGGAATAGCACTTAGCCTCTCTGGCTGAAGAAATCGAAACCTAGAGGCATCTTGCTCTGTTTACTACGTTGCTTCCTCTCCCCCTGGGCTGAGAGCCCAGCGAGTGAGACACCCAGCATTGTCAGTAAGTGACTCACCAGGGCACTTTTCCTGTTTTCTTCAGGAAATGCTTCATCTTTTCAGCATTTCAGAACCCAAGATCCTGCCGTTTTCGTTCAGTCTCTGAGAGATCTCACCTATTTTTCTAATGCAAACCAAAAATCCCTGCTCCCTGCACTCCTGAAGWGCTGAAGAGCTGGACCACTGTTGAAGAAATCCCCAGGGAGGTGAGTCCTGCCAGTGCTTTCTTGTGGAGAAGATTTTGTGGACACCTCCCACAGATCACAAGGTCAGCCGGGGAAATCAGTGTTGGGTCTTCTGGGTGCTGGGGTGAGGGGAGTCGGGCTGGCATCAGCTGCTTTGGAATTGGMGACAACTTCAGTAGCTAGACTGATCSACTTAGAAAGATAACAGACCTCTTTATTSCTCCAACACCGGGGCCTGAAAAGGGGGAAGAGCATTTTGGCTATTTCGGATTGTAAACTCTGAGGAGGAATTGGCAGGAGTTCATATTGCAGAAGAGGACTTTGGTTTACCTGGTTGGAGAGAGTATAAAAAACGTGGTGACTGTAGTGAGGGGCCTCAGGAAAAGACAAGAGTGAGACATGAAAAGAAGCATAAAGTAATGTTAATTAAAAACACACACCTGGAATGACGCTGTGTTGTGTAGCATTATCCCAATTTTCCAAAACGTGAGAATAAACGGAAAGGCATCGTAGAAAAATTTAGATTCACAAGCTCAGATATTCAAATATAGGATCTTAATATTTTCAGAAGTATTTTTAACTTTCCTTTAATTCCATTTGAAAACAGGACTAGTGGCAGATTTCAATCACTTTTGGATAGCTCTGCCAGCCTGAAAATTCATTATCATACATATACATAGGTTCTGGTGTTCAGAGGTAGAGAAGAAAAAGCAAATTCAAGTACGGGAGAAGAAGGGAAGTCAAGTAGAAAGAAGTCTTGTATATTAAAAGACTTTCTGTAGAGCCAATTTCAGTATTTCATGTGCACTTGAATAGATTATGAGATTTTAGTTGTTGATATCAGATTTTTTATATGTAGAAAAATATTGTTAAGTACATCAGGTATGTTACTCRGATAATCTAAATATTTACATACTTTTTTAACTTTGTTCATTCAGGAATTGAGAAAATTCATAGATTAAGAAATACCTCAGGCCAAAAGATATGGAGATCTGCCATACCAACTAAAAAATTGTCACTTTTTCTTGTGGTTCCTTGAAATCCATATATGTGTAGCTACACACAGATAGCTACATGTGTGTAATGATGTATACATCTGTGTCTCTGTGTGTGTATATATGGAGAAAAATATATTTAGGGTACCAGGAGGACCAAAAAGTCATTATAACTGTTATTAGAAACATCCATAATTAAAACTGCTGGGTTTCCTAGGAGTTGAATGTTTTATTATTAGGTGGTATCTGATAACGATGTCTGTTTTTTCCACATTTCAGTGATGTTTTTTTATGACACTTACGTAGACGTCTTCAATTAATTTTGACAAAAACATAAAATCACCTAACTGATTAGGCCCTTTATGTATATGCCGGTATAAAGTATTTTGTCTTGTTTTTTGCTATCTTTACTTCAATCTATGACACTTCTTTATTCTCTTTGTTTTTAACTTATTGTTCTATCTTATGCTTTATGAAAAATACATGAAGAAATTGTTATTTTCTGTTTCTCTCCTACTTTCACCATGATGATGGGCTTCCTCTATTTTTTCTCTTCAATCATATCTTTATTTTTAAGACACAGTCATACTTAATCAAGTTTGTTTTCATTCTCCTGATCTTTTGGCCTGAAGTATTTCTTAATCTATTATTTTCTTATTGACTACTTCTTTCAATAGATATTTCCATGTGGGTTTTTGTCTTTCAAAACTACCTAGGCCTTGAGAAAAACAGAGTAGTTGTCGAGGCTTTCCTGCTTAAATATCATTTTTGTAGGTTAAAATTACACTTCCAAAATTATTTTTTCACTCAAGCCAGGTTAGTGCACCTTCTTCTGTACCGAGGGGCTAGATATATTTTGAAATTCAGTTTTTGAAGTTCACAGAAGGCTTTATTTGAAACATCTGTTCTATACATTGTACTACTACAAGCTCCACTGATAATCTGTATCTTTACCTCATTACCAAAAGCAATAATATTTCAACAACAACACAAACAAGAGTGTTCAGATTTCAGAAGAATAAGGATTACACATAGCCACCTATCATCTCACATATGGTTATATTTTACAAACAAATTGTGTTGCCACACTCTCAAAACTTTCTATTTTAAAGGTATTTGGGTTATGCAATAGATATCTGGGTTATGCAATATTCAATCTGAGGATGTTCCTGTTCCCTCAAGGAAGAMGCAATTAACAGCCACAGAAATTTGAACATTCCATTTATCCAAAAGGTGTACAAAGAAATGATTCCTAAACTGAAAACACTTGTAAAGTAAGCAGAAAACTGGAATCCATAGCATGTACCSGTGTCACCAGGGTAGAGCACAAAAGCTACCTAGGTTCAGAAGTGTGACTCTTGTCCACGTGGGAGTTCTAGGGATTCCAGAGGACAAAACCTCAGTTCACACTTAAAGGTTGTAGTGGGAGGTAATCAGAAAAAGAAATACAGAAATGGCTTTTCAGGCCATGAAAGGGAAGTAGCAAAGTCATAAAGCATGAAAAGACAAGAGTGTGTTGTGTATATCAGAAGCGTGTGACATGAGGGATATGAAGAGCAAAACAGAAATGAAAAACAGGAGGTCACTCAGGGCCTTCCAGGATCCTTTAAGGAGTCAGGAATGTTTCTTACACGATTAAAAATTTTCAGCAGTAKTGTGCTGTGGATCCTAGAGAGAAAATGGACTCCATGAAAAACCTAATTAAGGAAATTAAGGCTGAAAGAAGAAAAATCAAGCAACTGTTGAAATTTTTCTACCAATAAATACTGTGACCTTACACCAGAAAGCAGATAGATGTTCAGCCAAGTGACAGAAATGGGGGCAGAGGACACAGAATGCATGCTCCCACACCAGGACAGACGCAGTACTAATGAGAGCTGGGTAGAAAAGAGCCAAGTGGACAGGGTCAGTGCCTGAGCCTGGAAGGGGGGTGCAGCAGCAGACAGTCACTCCTGGGGGCGGGGGAAGGTCGAGGCCATTGGCCCAGCAGCCACTTCATTCCTAACAGGTGAGCAGAGAGTCAGGAGCAAGATACACCCAGGGATGGGCCCAGGTCCAAGAAAGAACGGCAAGGGGAGCCAGGGGCTATGACACTGCACCCCCCCAGCCTGTT